TTACAATATTCCCACATTATTATTAATTAGAACATTCTGATGCGTTTTAAAACCTCTATTGCAGATACCATATCTGAACAGCAGCTTTCCTGGAGGCGGGCCGCGTCGTGGAAATACACTGTTAACATTCTATGGTGACAATTTAGACATTGGATTGAAAACTATGATCGTGGTTTCTAATTTAAAGTGCCAGATCGTAAGGTGAATGTTTCAATGTCTAACGAGTAATAAGTGAAAATTTTCATGCATCCATTACATGTTATTCACATGTAATGTAATTTGTAGCGTTTCTCAAACCCTCGAAATAGGAATGAATATTGCCGACTCGCGGATAAGCGTAAAACAACAATAATTCTGTCCATACTTTCTTCTTTCTGTGTTACATGGTAGTTACACTAAGAAGAAATAACTTTCGTAAATATGGTAAGATGCTTGTTACAACGCACTTTGAAAAATTAAGCACTTTGAATTTTTTTTCAAAATGCGTTACATTTGGGACAAAGTCACCACACTTTGAAAAAATAATTTTTATTTTTAAAGTGCGTTTATATCGACCATTTTAACGCACTTTGAAAAAATGTGTACGACTTAAAGGACATATTTTAGCAAATTTTAGATATGATAAAACATTATTTGAACCCTGTTGAATAACTTTTATTAATGACGTCACTTTAGGATCTGAGAAATAGACATTTTATGTATGACCCTTAGGGGTACGGGAAATGCCACAAAATAAAGACTCAGCTTGTAACCTGATTTAAAATAATTTTCCAAAACAATATAACTGTCTTTTTTCGTAATTTGATAAGTTTTTAGAACCTTTGCAAGATGGTGACATTTTTTACAGTCATTAAAATAGATTAATCTTAAGTTGCATGAAAAATATATTTAACATGCATTTTATTTTTTGATTTGTATAATTAGCATATGTAATTACTTTGGCCAATGGTTAGTCAATTTGCTAATTGTTGTTTAGATCAGCGATGTTGCTCCTGAACCTCTCTATTACAGAACAAAAGCTTGTTGTGCTATATGTATATGTACATATTTTACCAGCATTATTTCAAAGGAAATCTTAAATCTTAATTTTTTTCTTTATTTTATACTTTAACTCAAATTTATGAAGAGAATAATAAATATATATATTTGCTTAGGAAAGATAAAGAAATTGCTTGAGGGTCCTTCTATCTTCGTTTCCTCTTTCTCGATGAGAATAAATCAATTTATCTCGTTTTTGAAAGAAATGTAAGGAAAAAAATGTCTATTACTTAAATCTAAGTCTGGAAATTTTATTTGAAATACTAGTATATTTTTTTTCAAAGTGCATTAAGTGCCTCCATAGTAAAAATATTGATGTATACTTTTAACGCACTTTGAAAAACTTTTAAAAAGTGCGTTAATGTTGTCCAAAATTTCACGCACTTTGAAAAAATTTTTCAGAGTGCGTTGATTTTGTCCCAATTTCATCGCACTTTGAAGTTTTTTTTCAAAGTGCGTAATTTTTTCAAAATTCGTTGCCACAGATGCTGATGGTGCATTACTGTTGCCTTATATCCTGTTTTATTTTGTATATTTTTTTTTATGAGAGAATACTACATACATCTATCATTTCATTGAAAACAAAAACAGTTTTTATATTTACTTAAATATGTTTAAAAAAGTGTAAAGGAGCCTTGAACCAAACTTAATTTTAGCTGCTAACAGAGAATTTTTAAACCTTACACAAAATGCTTATTTTTCATTTTTTAAAACAATTGCTAATTATTCAATGCAAAAGACTATTCACAGATATTTCAGATGAACGAATTATATACACTATGTAATCTAGTACGTTAGCTATATTGTTAATTGAATTGCTATAAATGTATTATAATTATTTTTATAAACTACAGTAAAACCAAAACGCAAGTGCAATGTCGAACAAGTGAATGTATAGAAATTCGGAATAGCCAGATCGAACAGCGAATGACTTGTAAAGAATGCTACCCAGTAAGATTTGAAATTGACAGCACCATATTAACAGATGAAAAAGACACATTCTGCTACAAAGAAAATCCGGAAATTACAGGCATATCAAGGAATAAAACAATCACAAGGTATGGATGTATAATTGTTGACCAAAACAGGTATACATTCACTTTTCTGTTTTTCTCCTTATTTCAATAAAAAAAATTGAAAGCTGAAGCTTGTCATTTTAAACTTTACTGAATAAGAACATTTTAAAAACAACTGACGAGCGCCGCTAAATCTTGCGGATATACAAATGGATAGAAAATTAGAAAAATATATCATACCTTGAAATATCCAGACTCATCACTTAAGAATTACTTTGCTTTTTTGTTGAAATGAAAATGTTTTACATTTTGTCTTTAATACCTTGTTGTTGTTTATTATTATTATTTATAGTGGTGGTCTCCCGTTAATCATTTATGGCGTGAATCTCACACATGCTAATTCATACAAATTTTACATGAATTTTACAAATGGGAAAATGATACAAAGAGTAAGTATGACTTTAATTTAATCCTTACTACATCCTTCAAAATTAAATCTAAATTTTATTACGTTTTTCAACATCATAAATTTATAATATGGTATAATTGCGTTTTATGACAAATAAATGCATGCATATAGGTTATTACTTTGCATCAAATTTAAGCAATATACAGTGAAAACTGTCTAATCCGATACATATGCAATCCGACACTCTGTGGACGCCGGTGTTAAATTTCTTTCCAACTCTTTCCCATATTTTTTACATTGTGCAATCCAACATCCTGTCTATTCGAACTCAAAATTTGTCTCCCAGTGCATGTCGTATTAGACAAGTTTCACTGTAGATATACAACATAGACATTGATGATTAAAATTATTTTGTTTTCTTTTGCAGGAATGTCATATGTATCGTCGTTACATCCTATGTGAAACTCCAGATCTGTCCTCAATCTCTACAGCAATAACAACAATAGGTTTAAGAGCAAAAATATGTGTTACACTAGAAGACGACGACCTTTTCTGGCGTATTTGGATCAGTAGAAACCCTTACTTAAGCTATATGACTGTTTATCCAGATCCTGTGTTTGAAAATTTGAATAGTACAGAAAAACGAGAGATTCTCATAGGCGAGAAACTTTTAAAGTTGAATGTGAGTAGTATCTTTTAGGAACTTTTTTTAATCAATCTTGATTGCAAAGACATGTGTGAAAATCAATAGAATTTAAGATTTTAGCATCGACTAGTGTCGAAAGAGTTTAAGTGTTTTAATTCCGTAAAATTGACTTTACATACATTAGTCTAATTAGGCATCATTCTTTCGCTCTTGGAATATATATATTTCCATCATGAAAAAAGAAAACTTGCCTTATATAAAGCATCTAAAGCAGAAAATTCAATGAAAAAGGTAAATAATTATGTATAATTTATCGAGCTGATGAATCGAGGACACCTATTCCAATTCAAACAAGAAAACATTAATGTAACCATCAATTGTCGCCCGGGAAATATAGAAAGTAGACAATGGAAATAAGTCTTGATCATCAAACTGCTTTGATATGTGTGAAAAGGCATGCGTCTAATTGATGGAGACGATGGAGAATATTTTGAAAACTCATAGTCGGATAAAAATCAAACAAAAACGATACCATTTTAATCTTGATCAATTAAATGTTGGCTGAATAAAATATAATTTGAAGTTAGACACATGCATCACCGATATTCAAAAATATATTTTAATATTAAATTTTCGAATATAAAACACGATCTGCGCAGAGTACGTTTTTATGCGAGAAGAAAAATTTGATGTTCTAAAGAAAGGGACCTCTCATTTTTTCCATAGTAAATGATAAGCAACTTTATATATTAAATATAAAAAAATTAAAAATATTTTTACAGATTCACTTTATGGAAGTAAATATATTATGTATCTCCAAATTTATAAAGGAAAGAACATTCTGATTAACAATCTTTTCATTGTTTAGAACACCTTAATTCTGAATAACTACTCCCGCCCCAATCCCCATACAAAAACACTTAAACTTATATGTATAGAGAGGTCCTCCGGGCTGCAATAAGCAAATTTTATAAACATCGTGAAACGGTGAAGATAACGAACAGAGCTCGAACTCAAGAATTCTGTTAACATACAAATCTGGGAATAAGGTATAAAATACCGACTCCTGGTAATCTGGTAATTTGAGAGGTCGGATCAGGTGCCTAGGAGGAGTAAGGATCTCTATACATTATAAATTGAAAAGATGGCATTTTCAGATATGTGTATTTTTTAGCTTCTAAGAATATGGATTTTTAAAAAAATTAATTATATTTTCTATTGACAGGGTAAGAATTTAAATATGGCACTTAAACCTGAAGACTATAAAATTGAGGTGCAGAATGTTTTATGTCCAGTGAAGGAACTAACATCAACGTATTTGAAATGTGATTTAACAGAGGCAATTGAAAAGCATGACTTACTAGAAGACAAATTATTACTTACCACAATAATGGTAAGTTTTGAACCTTCCTTTCGAAGGTCAATAATTAACATACTATATTTTATTTTATGTAATGACTATTTATACAAAAAGAGAAACAACATCAGTGCGAATTTACACAGGGTCAATTTTAAAAATTATTTGTTTTCAAAGAAAATGTCAATAAATATCCTTCGATAAAACTGAAACTTCATTTATTTAATTCGCTTTAAGTTGGATTATATTAATTTATCCAGTCAATTGCAAGCAAGTCGATATACTTGAAGCCGTCAGCTTAAACGAGGAAAAAATCGCACATTTACTCAAGTTTTAAAGTCTTTCCGAACCTTAAAAGCACAAATCATTGATCCAAACTTCAAGAAAACTATCTATTTCTTTTGGTATTTACATTTAAACATATAATCTCTTCGATGCAAAGAATTACAGTTTTTATCGTTCACAAGAAGATCCGAACAGAGAACAGACGACGTTTTGGAAAATCCAATGCACGTTAGAAGTCGAAATGTGATTGGTCAGACCTAGTTTTAAAAAACTGTAGACATTTTATAGACGACGATTCTTAAATGACTCTGATTATCTTTAAAAAATAGTTATTGCAAAGTGATTCCAGTCGTTACTCCACTAACTACAAGGCTTTTTTTTTAAAGAAGGGGAATGTGTCTGAGATTCACTGCGTGTATATTCGGACTTGGTTACCTTTTCTTTTTTGTATATACAATGATTACATAAAACCAAATATAGTATATTACTGGCACCCGTGACTGTAACATACTTTTCATGTTTGAGTTTTGTCATTCATAGATCAAAGATAATAATAAGTCAAATTAGTCATTTTAGTTGTAATGAAATATGCTCCAGTTATCCTTTTTACAGATCAAATTTGGTAACGTAACAGTTATCCTAGGGGATGCTAAATTTCATCACCAACTTCAAACTGTTACTGGCCTCCATCACTTTTTTATGGCGGGTGTGATTGGAATCTTTGTCCTTCTTGTATTAATTGTTGGAGTTTGCATGAAAACTAATCATGTGGGTCCTTTTCAAAGAAAGCGGGTATCATATGATGCCTCTGTGAATTACCGTTCTGAAAATGCAAATCAACCTATTTCGGAGGCGTTTTTACAGCCAGAAACGGACCCCGATAGTGCAACAACTGCCAGACCTAATGGTAATTATGCACATAACTTGCATTTGCATACTTGGTTGAATTAGTTTTTAATAATAATTTGAGAAATCATTTGCCAAAAATTATCTTTACATGTGAAAAAAGCTTACAAATTGCATGAATTTGTTCCCCTTTTAGATTATGTAGATGGAAAGCATATAACTGAACTTGGGGCTGTAGGTGGATATGACACGGACCTGATAGAAGACATGGTCGCTGTCATGAAGAGACAGAATCTTTTAATTGATGGGGATTGTCTGAGACTTGGAACACATTTAGGAAGAGGCTTGTTATTTTTTATACTTTATGAATTTTTCAAACAAAATTTAAGGAAGTTATAAGTAACTTTGTTGATTTACACTGGGTGATGTTTTACCTCAATAAATTCAACTCGTTAAATTTTGCAGAGACGATATATTTAATAATTTTGCATTGAAAATAAGGTGCATGTGGGTTTTTTTTCTTTGTATTTTATATTAATTATGTTTTATTCTTTTATTCATTTCTTAGGAAATTTCGGTTGTGTGTACAAAGGATTTTTGAAAAGACCTAACGACAAGTTTGAAATGGTCGTGGCAGTGAAGACCATAATTCGTACGTCCCTACTACTTTGTTCTTTGCTAAATAATATCATTGAAGTCTTAGCAGTCTTAGACATCGCCATAACTAAAAGTATTTATCTGTAATCCTCCTCCCCACACGGACTATATTTAAACTTTTAAGTTAAAAACGCCCTATCAATCCGATGTATGGTATTTGTGTACTTTTTTGCATCCTGCATGAAGTAATACACCCAGAATAAAAAAGCGAGATATGAAGTCTTAGAATGATATATTAAAAGTAAATATTCTTCATAACACGTTAAATATTTTAATTAGACATACATGAACTAGCAACTGTAATATATTTGGGATATAATAAACAGAAAATGCTTTGTTTCCCTTGCCCATAATTCTTCCTGTATAGAAAAGTTTTTTTTATCATTTTTTCCAGGCTCTGGGGCTATTGATGTGAACGCTTTCTTGAACGAAGCTCTGAATATGAAGGACTTTGATCATCCCAATGTGTTGACTTTGATTGGAATCACAATGGACAAAGGAGAATTCCCTATGGTTATACTACCTTTCATGCATAATGGAGCTCTTTTAACATATATCAGGGATGAAGAGAATGTATGTTTTTTTCCCATTTATTTAGTTTGATGTATTTTTTTTAAAACTTCTTTATTGAGTTTTTTTTAAAGAAAAAGTTCTTACTCCCTATTACTCAGATTTTATCACATTCCCGAAAAAAATAATCTCAAGTTATTACCCCTTTTCACATGATCATTTAGTACTTTGAAAGTTTGATCAACAAAAAAGCCAAATCTATATCGTCTATTTCCTTCATTATTAGTAAATAAATACCGGTATTCATAAGCAACTGCAAGAGTCTTTATTGGTAAATAACGGATTGAAAGATTGATTAAAACTCTACATCACTTGAGGAAAAATGACATCCATTTAGGGATTGACATTGATTAAGAAAACAGTATCTCGAAAAGTTTATAAGCTGCTTAAAACGTTCCTTTTGTCTCAAGAAGTTTTGCAAAAACTAATAAATGATTATGTTTACGTCATCATCCTTGTTTCTGTTTTTTTTTTTTTTAATTTGTCCTATCTTTTTGTTTAATTTAAAAAGAAGGAAAGCTAACCTCCCAAACCAAACACTTCAACCTGCTATAGGACATACATTGTATTTGTTAATGACAAGCAAATGATGTAAGATAGATAACTCTATATTGAATAAATAACTTTACACGGTTTTTTTTTTCATTTTACCTATAATCTCCCTCAATGAAATAAAATGTAATACATCTTCTCTTTAGATTTACTTTATCAGCTTTAATTTTCAAATTTTTCCTATCTAAACTAACATTTTTAAACCCCTCCTCGAAAGAGTAATTATTTTCAGTTAGAATGTTGATTTCGCCTGATATAATGTAACACATACACGAGTTCCCAACATTTATACATATATCACTGATGATCCATTCTAGATGCCAACGGTGAAGATGCTGGTTATGTATGGTCTGGACATTGCTCAAGGAATGGAGTATCTTGCAAACAGGAAATTTGTTCACAGAGATTTGGCGGCAAGAAATTGCATGTATGTTGCATACAAGTATATAATTTTAATTCACTGATATATATGTTTATACGAATGACTATTAATTTTAAAAGATTTTAAAAAAGAGATATAGCAACTGTTGTTTATTTTGAAAATTTATTAAAGCTTTATTAAAATGTTAAATGGGTTTTTATGCCAGCTACCAGCAACATAAACTTTCTTTATAAATCTATCCTAAAGAAAAGCAATGTTTTATTTGAAGGATTGACAAGGATTTTACAGTTAAAGTTGCAGATTTCGGTCTATCACGGGATATATATTCAAAAGAGTACTACAGCTGCGAAAACAGACAAAAATTACCAGTCAAGTGGATGGCTCCAGAAAGTTTGGAACAAGGACGGTACTCCTCCAAATCTGACGTGGTAAGTTCATACTATGTATAGATAGGTAGGTGTGCTACATGTAACTGTATCAAAGTGTACTGAATAAATTGTTGAGTTCCGATGAAATGGTACATCAATGAATACAAAAAAGAAAGAAAGACAGAAATAATTGGATAAATACATTTCTTGATTAATAAATTCAATGTATCTAGATCTTGAAAATGACTTAGTGTTTTTTTTTTTGCGGTGGGGGGGGGGGGGGGGGTTATTAAGCGGATAGATAGAAAGCAAAAGATGTACCATTCTTTATATCCTACATAAGATTTTGGAGAAAAATCCTTCAAGCTCGCCTTATAAACATCTTGGAGAGGGACAATTCACTTCAGTTTAATGTTTGACAGTCATGAGAGCATTAAATTCTAAATATTCGACAAAATTAGTGTGTTGTCAAGTTTTCGCTTAAATGGAGGCAGGATTTCAACGTGAAGATTAACATGCCCATTTCAAACAAAATTTATTACTTGAAATTAAAATTTCTGTACATTTCTTTCATACTTAAGGACAGATGATACAAACAGATTTTTTCTTTGAAAAACATTTAATATCATGTCACAAGTTTTGAAAAGTTTATGGTTCTTAGAATTTTTGCTCCTAAGAACTGGAAAATGAAAAAGACTTGGAAAATATGAGAAATATTTCAATAAAATAACAAATATAGACAAATCACATTCGGTAAAGGTTTTCAGGTGGAAACAAATTTCAGAATATGTTACCATTGTGCTAAAAGTGTAATATAAACTTAGGAAATATTTACCAGGCCAGGTGAATTTTACTAGGAAAAGCTAAATGGTAAAAATCAGCCTATGTGATATTGCAAATTTTTTGTCATTTTGCTTTTCCTCACAAAATTCACCTGGCCTGCTATATTTTTCTAAAGTTTATAGTACACTTTTAGCACCAAGGTAACATATTCTGAAATTTGTTTTCACCTGTAAACCTTTACTGAATGTGATTTGCCTAGATTTGTTTTTTTTTATTGAAATTTTACTAATATTTCCTTAGTCTTTTTCATTTTTCAGTTCTTAGGAGAAAAAATTCTAAGAACCATCCACTTTTATAAACTATTGTCATGATATTAAATCTATTTCAAAGAAAAAAATTGTTTGTATCATCTGTCCTTAACGCCGTATGAAAATAAAGTGTTTATTAACATGATTAAATCAAGGGAAAGATAGAGGACAAAATAAGCAAAAGTATTTAAGCTAGGAATTAGCCCTGGCCTTTCTTTTTATTGTAGTGGTCCTTTGGTGTTGTATTGTGGGAACTTATGACAAGAGGATCCCAGCCTTATCCTGAGGTGGACAACTGGGATATGTCCATCTACCTCAAGAGTGGACGTCGCCTGCTGAGACCGGAATATTGTCCTATGATGCTGTAAGGATAAGTTATTCATGTAAAATGTTAAAATTGTCGGGGTTAATATTCTTTTTGATTTCCAAGAGATCGGCAAATATATGTCCTCCACGAAATTAAAGTTTTTAAAAGAGGATCATGTTTGTCCATCGCCATGAAATCAAATCGTTGTGTTTTATTTTTTGTCCACATATCAAGAACATTTACCCCTTAATAATAATTCAGCGATTTTGTAGTAATTGAATAAAAAACCATACCCTTGTGATTCCGCAAGATGATTATTTCATAAATTATTCAAAATGTTTTAGAGTTTTTCAGCTGCATGATAACAAATGATATTTTTCTTTAAATTAAGATACCGGGTCATGTTGAAGTGTTGGTTAGAAAATCCCGCTAACAGACCATCTTTTCAGGATCTTGCAGACGATATCATGCGTCTGATAGAGGCCAAAGACAAATCGTACTCACTCGTTGATACAAAGGTCGATTTAGAAAGATGTAATAATTATCATTATATGGATCATCAGAGTCTAGCGCGCCAACGAAGTCTTAGTGCAAAAAGATCAGTGTCTTCAGACGATGCGCCACTTCTGTAGTTCTTAGATGAAATATAAAATTCAAAGAGGGAGATTTTATTGGTGACTTGAATGACCACCAAGATTCTTGAGCAAGAAAGTGTTTCTTCGTGAAAACAAATGATTAAATTCCAGGGATAGTTTTTCCCTAGTTAGAATGTTACTAAACAGATTTCTGAACAAAGTGTTGGATGCCTTCTGTCTCAATGAACTGTTTTGTGAGTAATGCAGTTTGGAATATTTATTCTGTGTAGATTTCGAAGAAGAAAATATTTTGAAAATCTTTTCAAAGATGCATGTTTCCCATGTTCTGAATTGTTTGTAAATATTGTACATAAGTGAAACTTCATGAAAATAAAAATTATTAAAAGCTTGAACTCCCTGCTACAAAATAATTTACTTTCATTAGAGACTATCAGTGGATCGAAACTAAACATTGTAACAATTTTCATTCGAATTTTACTGTGAATAAATAAACAAAATAAATTAGTAGAGACGATGTCTGTCAAAAAATCAAAATTATAAAGTTATTGAAAATTTTATCATTTAAGTACATATTTTTTTCTGTTCTTTTCATTGTTGTTAATACTCCAAGTCAGCAAAATTTTATCAATTTTTCCTGTGTAAAAATCATGTTTCCATTACAGAATAAATTTAAAGGATCGATTCCCAAGCTTCGAAATATTGCACAACTCCCTAGTATTCTCATCACCAAGTTGAATGTTGCAATGCAGCAGCCCCCTGCTCTGTTATATGCGTCGAGTCCAACAGCTCTATATCATATATGCCTCATCTACGTACTCCTGAAGCACGTTCCTAAATTGTGCATCCCATCAAACAATACATTGTTCTGTGTATTATACTTCTTAAATGTCATCAGCAAACTTTAGACATTCACAGACCTCAAATACTGCAAAGGTGTGATCAGGTGCAATGGAGGAGTAGCATCCCCTGCCGACTGTTCACACCCACCGTGTGCTCCTTGTCATGATCAGGAAAAATCCGTCGACAATTCAGTGTGTAAATAATGAACTAACAATTAGTACGACTTTTGACTTGATGATAAATTGTATTTAACCATAATTGACAATGTTCGAATCCCAACATTCCAATATAGCATACTTCCATGTATATTGCATTAGTATGCATTTCCTCCGTTCATGTAATTTACCATTGTTAACCTCCTGAGCCCTTATACATATTCATACATGACACAGAAACAATAAGTTATATAACATTTTTGAATTAGTTTTCCCATTATATCACAAATATAATATTTTATCCATATGCCCTGAAAAACTGCCGAATCACGCCGGATACAGTTATGTTCCCCGGAAACAGTTATGTTGCCCTCCCGAACACAGTTATGTTCCCTCGCGTGCAATCATTCTGCATATTAATTACGTCGGGTTCGAAATTCACAGAGGCAGTTGCTAAGCAAACGTAAACAGTTCCGCGAAAGTTAAAAAGTCGAGGCAACGTCTGCGATTTGTTTATTTGAATTCAGAGGTATTAGATAATTTATTTGAGGAGAAAAATTCTTTAAATACAACAAAGGTTATCAACACAAGTGTCAGCATACTGAAAACAATCTGCCATGAAACAGGACAGGATATTTCGGATTTATACTCAACGTACATGTATATCATTACGTGAACATAGAGTTCAACAAATATTTTCGATGATCGATTTGGGTTCAATGCTTAAAAATGTTATATACCATATATTACATGGCTTAATTCTCGGGCAGCAATACCAGAATATTTGCCCCTCGGTGACAGGAAAGCCCTGGAGTGTTATGTCGCCCGATGCTTTCCTGTCACCTTGGGGCAAATATTCTGGTATGCTGCCCTCGAAGCCATGTAATATATGTATAATGTTGCACTCTGTCACCACTGTGACTTTATTAAAAACCCAAATGTTAATTACATAAAATGATAAAATGATGTAAATCTCATTAAATGGTTATGTAATCATAACCTACTTAAAATTTGATATACATTTATGAATATTTGATTATTTACCCCAATAATATTTTAATTAATATTAATTAATAATTAATTCCCATTAATTTTCCCATTAATGATGTAAATGATTACATAATTTTAAAGCAACCTATACCTTGTGGTCTGAAACTGCAATACATAAACAAATAAAATATGGATTTATTCATTTAAAAAGGAAGGTGGAGGGGTGGAGGTGGATAAAATTCGAAGAAAAATTTCCAATGAGTTAATTGTCCGGCGTCCTGAAAGAAAGTGGCGACCCACGCTATCTCTAAAGAGACGCACCTTCAGTTTCCCGCGAAACGATTCTATTGGTTCTATCCATCAGCACTCGTATAGCTTACCACATAAGAAGATGTTATTGAAATTAAGCTGGAGTGTATCGCAAGAGCGATAACTCCAGAAATTGTATTTGTTGACAAGGTCATTGTTAAGATAATAGAACTGTAAAAATGATGAGTTTAAACGAGACTTCTGAGATTCTTGTTATATCAACTTTTTTGTCAATAAAGTGACTCTGTTTCAGTCGAGGATGATCTGTTAAAAGACGGATCTCGTGTAAAAATATGATCAACAACTTTAAGACTTTAATAAGCTCATGGAAAGAAAATAGTTAGTCTGCAATCTGCTGTTCTTGTAAAAACATAATAACACAAAAAATGTTTAATTTACAAACAATACTAGGGCTTACAGAAAAGAAATTAGCAAAATAAATTCCAAGTGGTAGAAGAAACGTGTTTAATTTCAAGGTATTGATTTAATATTAACAGAACAAACATTTTTAATGTTCATAGATTAGTGTTCATATAAGATTTATTTTTTTAAAAGAGTAAAGTTAAGATAAACATATAATGGTTTAAAATAATATAAAGGTATAAAAAGGAATGCTATAAGTATTTTAAGATAAACTTGTGTTTCAATGTAAGAAATGTTGCTGTCATGCTAATTAAATCAAAGGAATAAATATATTTTTTAGAATTGAGTAGGATTAGTCTGGACCAGTTGTCCATTTTTTTGTACAATTGTATATTGAATTTGACTACAGAATGTTGATTTTTTTTATTCTAACCTTTAACATTTTATATTAGTTTAAACAAATTCCACAATATTTTGAAATAATTTAATCTGTTCCACCAACAAATTAGTTGTTGATTTGAACTAATTACAGCTTTGACACTACATTGTACATTTTAAGTTCAAAATTACTTTTTATAGGTCCGAAATGAGTTTTCTTACAGTAGTTTTTCTGTAATGTAAGCACTATTTCGAGAATTTTTGAATTACTTTCTCGGATTCCAATTTTTTGAATGAACACAAATACTATCAACATTCAGCTTATCTCGACTGAACTCCTGACATTGCCAGATAAGCAATCATTCCTGGTCAATATTTGATATTCCCAGTGAGGTAAGTTTATATTTATCTTCAATAATTTGTAATAAATATTAACGTTATTACAATTATTTATTTTTCTGTTTTCATCGACAAAGAAGAGAAAGTAATACTTCTCGTTGGCTATCTACAAGGAATCTGAAAATGACGTAGAGTTAAAAATTTGAATCCAGATGCTTTCTTTTTTTGCATTTTTTTCCTCGTTACATCTAATAACAAAAAATTACATTTTCTTTTTTTTTCATCGAAAATATGGAACTAACCAATGTACATTTTATGATGTAAGAACATATGTAAAGGACTGTACGTGTATTTTTCGGATCTTGTACTAGGATTTGTTTTTCTTTGATTAGTCTTTTGCATTTTTTTCTCTTAGGGTTCCGGATACCCTCCCTTTGTAATTTTTACCAGTCTTTTTTTTCATTTTGCTAGTATTATTTGATTTTTTAAAAATACTGCATTTTATTGATCTTTTTTAATTTGGTTTATCAATTTATCAAGATTATAACTTTTTAAATTGCTCCTTTTAAATTTTTGTTTCAGTAGAGAGTACTGGGGGAGGGGGTAAATGTTCTTGATTTTTGTATTTATGTGTATTTTCATGTCAAAAATATATTAAAGGATTGAACCCCGGAATTCGATCAAGAAGATTTGTTTTTTTATTATTATTATTATTATTATTTTATTACTTTCAGATAAATGACGTATTCGGGAAATTCAAAGAATTGGCCTAAAGAAAAGAATATTTTCCACTAAAAAGCTTCACTTCGAAATTAAACATTAGATGTATATTACATTTAATATGTCTATATTAACATTTAAACTCTAAAATATTTTGAATGTTTAAAATGAACCTAAATGTCATCTAAGCAACATTTTTACCGCAAAAGCACCGAATGTTCATGGGATTTGATCTGTAAGTTTCAAAGCTCTAAAGTCATATCTCAAGTTATTAAAAAGTAGCACAACATATTACAATATTTACATTTCCAAAAAATTTCCCCTATGATTCTTTACAAAAAAAATGCTGTTCATTTTATCATGAAATACATTAGGTATTTACCACGAATGAGCATGAATATATCCATTGTTGCGTCATAATAACGCTGATGTCAACAAATATAGTGCACACTGTTTTGTTTTAAAAATGACAATTGAACGTCATAAATTTATGGGAAGTAATCAGAAAAATAATGTGAATATAAGAGATGGATGTAATTTTTTTGAAGATTCATGAGGTATATGAACTACAACGCTTCACGCCGGCACATTTATCATGAAATATGCCGGCGTGAAGCGTCGTAGTTCATAACCTCATGAATCTTCAAAAATTAAATTCATTTCTTAATTGTATTACAATGTGTCTGCTGTTCCAAGAATGTCAAATAAATATTATAATATTAATTTTTTTATGTAAACAAGGAAAGTAATTGCATGTAATTGTAGTAAATTATTAATTACTATAAAGTTTGCATTTTGTGAAAAAAGTAGTCGGAAAAAAGCTCTTCAGAGCTTATGTTTGTTGTTGATGTACCCGACTTTAAATAAGTATTATCTATTTATCTATCTATAGGAAAACCGTGGACTGCATTTTTTTTTTAATTTAGATTCTTACACAAATCTAACATGGGACAGCTTGGATGTCTTCTACTTACATTGTGCATAGTGGCAATTAACTGCGAGGAATCGCAGTTACAAATATCTGCTCTTTTTGAAAGAGTATTGCAGTTGGAGAATGCAGTACGTTTTCAGGCAGATCGAATAACTGACCTCGAAAAATCAAATATGAAACTGAATAAAACTGTCGCAGAGAAGGCCAAAAATATAAATTATTTGGAATCAGTTTTGAGGAAACTTCAACCAGTTGAGTTGGATTCCCTCCACAAAGGCTATGAGTCGTTGCTGGATAAATCAGTTGAAGAGGAAGGCTTTCAACGTTTTGGCAGTTTTCACCGATATGATCAAATTCGACAAGGTATTTATAGATTCTTTACATAATTATTATCAAATCACCGAAAATTCATATCAATAATTATCATTATGTTTTTGTCTATGAGATATAATCCAGTCCTGCAAGTGTTGAACAATCCTGCCAATTTAAGAAAAATTCAATTTATTGGCATGATTCTAAAATAGGTCTGCAAGAAACAGTGGTTTTCTTCTTATATATACAAGTCGTATTTAATAATTTTCGACTTTCAAATAATATAAACATGTACTTTAAAAGCTTAAAACAAATAAGAAATTCAAATTTATCGAATAATTAGTTTCTGTCTACTTAGAACAATAAATTTCAGCACGCTTACTGGCACCTCCAACAACAACACCAGAAATGGTAGGATTTTATGCCATCATGTCCACAGGTATCACGAACCCAGGAGATCACCAAACACTAATATTTGATCAAGTTCAACTAAATGAAGGAAATGGATACCAGTCTCACTCTGGTGTCTTCATCGCACCTGCCTCAGGCATGTACGCTTTCACTTGGACGATGCGTCTTCACGCAGCACACGGGGCCGAGAACCACAGCGCCCAGTTAATCGTTGACAACAAAATGTACAGCGCCATCTTTCAAAGTATAGGACATTCTGGCAATGAAAACGTTAGTGGCACCTGTGTTGTTCTCTTGAATAAAGGAGATGACGTGTTTGTTAGAACAACAACAAATAATGTGGGTGGGATCGAGAGTGATGCTTCCGGGGTGACCGCGTTTGGTGGATGGCTTATCAAATAATAAATGCATCTTTAATATTGAGACGACTTATCACTAAAATGATCATATGTACGGTGGAATTCACGATAAAATATACTGTAAACGTATTACATTTGGCTTTGTATTCTATTTGGCGCTTTAGGCGGAGAGAAACTTCCGCTTATTTAATAACAAAGATAAATGTCTTCCACACATAGACATAATTAAGAACATTGAGAAATGCGCTAAATAAGATTTTCACTAACTTATTCAAAAATTTCCGCCAAATATCGTACACGCTAAATATTATATATTTACTGTTACTCTTCAACTGTCATGATTAAATTTCTCCGAAACGTTTGAAAATATTTTTTTTTAAAAATGAAGAACAAGATAAAGAGTATTGTTTTTGGTGTTTCATTCTTCTAAGCAGGACATGTTGACAGTCTTTACCCATGGGTACGTGTGAGGAAAGAAATACGCTTGCATAATAAGCTGTAAAATTTCAACTAATTTATATGGAGATAACAGTGTTCAAGCTCAAAAGTCCATAGACATTACAGAATAGGTGCAGAGCAAACTTTGAGCTTCAAAACATCTGAGGTGGGATGAGGTGCCATGGAGGAGTGAACAAACCCTACCAACAGGACACACACGCTGTGTGCTCCTTGATATAACTATCAGAAAAATACGATGCCGATTCAGTGTGAAAATAAGGGACTAATAATTTCTATAAAACCTTCATCAGCACTTGACTCAATGATAAGTTTAATTTGCTGACAAGGTCATTGTGTTGATTACAAAACTTTCGAAATAATGCCTTTAAACAAGACTGCTGTTATTCCTGTATAATTAACTTATTTGTCAATAATTTACCTCTTTTAGAAATTGTATTGTTGTCAGTATAATGTGATTCTACCAGTTATCCAAGGACACTTGTTAATCGATTCATTTTTAGGTCAAGAAATTTCAATTAATGCGTTTCATCCAAGTGTTTGATCTACGACTTGTTTAAAAGTTTTAACTTATATTTTTACATTGATAATAATTTTTTTGTGTTCAAACCATCAGGACAAGGAATACACCAGGGCGTAAATGGTCAACATAATATAATTACTTTAAAATGGCACCTTGTCTTGCGTATCAATTAACCAAAAAAAAAAAGGAAATATATATATATATATATTAGGGATGTCAACGAGTACCCGGTTAACCGGGTATAATACTAAAATCAGTACTCGGTTACTCGGATGTATATTTTTGAATATTTCTTAGCTTATTTATTAATGCATTAAACAATCTGTTTTAAAACGTAAAATACTATTGCATACATACAGTATTAGGGTTTATATATATATACCGTTATCGCCCGTGGCAGTGTTTATACAGTAATTATCATGACCAAGCACCTGTTACCTGGCTTTTCTCACCTTCGGCTGTCTTCTACCCTTATTTTTGATTAACTTCAATTATTTGTTTTCACTGAACATCTGATAAGGTCTATTATTTTAATAAATTTGACAATTTGTTAATTCTGCGAGAAGTCTTATAAAAATTCTCAGGGAAAAGAGACAGATGAAATTGCCCGCGCGATTGTTGATAAGGTTGTGTTTGATTACGTGCCAATACAAATGGTTGAACCAAAGGCTTAAAAAAAAAACTCATGTCCATCATTGCACCAAACTACAAAATACCGTCCCACAATACTAGAAAATCTATGTTCGAAAAGTGTATTAAAACCGTAAATCCGCTATACTTGATCAAGTTCAAGTTAAACTGTACGAATGATACCTGGACGTCAAACGCAACAAAGAGTTACATTACAATGTACGGAGCAGATTGATTTTAAAACCAAAAATCTGTGATCTACTTATGATTTTACTTCTTGTGTTTATCTGATGAATAAATTGAACATAAACGATGTTATATTAAATTTCATCGGGCACGAAGTGCTCATCGTTGTTACAACAGAAATACACCAACGGGTAAACCTCCTATCAAAGCATGTGGTTTTATTTCTACAAGAGTTTACAATGTTTACTTGTTCATATTTATTTACACTTTTATACTCGATCGGAAAAGCGTCCGAGTAACCGAGTATTAAAAATTGACCGATTTGACATCCCTAATATATATATATATATATATATATATATATATATATATATATATATATATATATATATATATATATATATATATATATATATATATCATGTTAATAAATCATTACATTAAATGTATACATAAGTCCATGTGCCACCTTTTCTGTCATCAGATTAAAGATCCAGAAATCGAGGAAATCGACGAGAAACCGAAATAATAATACTTACTTCTTAATTAATTATCAGAATAATCAGTGTAAAAATGGAAAATATTAATATTTTCTGTATAACTTGTGGGATAAATTCGACGTTCACTGAATTGTTCAAAATGTAATGTTCAGAAACATTTTTTTTTTAATTTTCAATATTGACCTGTTGCAATTGTTTATTCAAGGTCAAATAAAATGAAATACAAAAAGATTTGATATAGTTAACATTTTTTATTCAAACATATTTTAAAATTACACAAAAAGAACATTACATATTAATAGTAATCAGTATGTATATTTACAAATATGGTTGCCGTGTACATTTTGCCCTAATCTAGTACATGTATATGAAGCACAACTAGAAGAAAATCAAGGAGATCAAAGATGATAAAATATATCTTGACATCTACATTTACCTCATATATAAACATCGAACACTAGAGGCAGTGAATTAAAAATAATAACACTTTTTAAAAAAAAGTTTTGAATGACAATGACAAAGGATAATCATATGCTGATTTGGAATAATTACACAATTATAAGTATAAAAAGTATTTTGAAAACAATATTAACATACTTCTTTCATGATATGCTTTTGTAAATCTTATGAAAAAAATATCCATTTCACAATTTTTTGTAATATTAAGGATTCCTCAAAAAATTTCCATTAGTTTCCACAAGATTTAAAATATAAATTAATTAGCCATTAAGTGTGTTTAGAATATTTTTTGACATCTCAGTACTTTTTACATGTAACAGATCTTATCTTTTCAAGAATGAAAATACTAACAAGAATCCCATGAGCAACATCGCTCACATGTAGCTTGAAATTAAAAGCAGAAATCAGTTTATTATTAAAAAGTTTAAACCAAAAAGTGGTCCCAACCAATCCTTAAAGGGGAGGGGATAGGATTTGAACAAACTTGAATATACACTTAAGATGCTTGCATATTTCTTTGACTATCTGTGGTTTAATTGCCCTTTACTTTTGAACTTACATTGTGGCCCCGCCCTACCCCCAGGGGTCATGACTTGAACAGACTTGAATATACACTACTAAGGATACTTCTATATGAATATGACTAATCATGGCTTTGCTATTCTTGAAAAGAAGATTTTTAAAGAATTTTATTATATATTTCTGTGTAAAAGTAGTAAAACTTTGATCAGCCATTGTGGCCGCCCTACCCTACTCGTAGGGTCATGATCTATATAAATCTGAATCTACACTACCTGTGGATGCTTCCATATAAATATGATCATTCATGCCTTTGCTATTCTTGAAAAGAAGATTTTTAAAGAATTTCCCTATATATTTCTATGTAAAACTTTGATCGGCCTTTGTGGGCCCGCCAAACCCCCAGGGGTCATGATTTGAACAAATATGTATCTACACTACCTGAGGATGCTTCCTGATAACTTTCATTTTTCATAGGCTCAGTGGTTCTTGAAAAGAAGATCTTTAAAGAATGTCCCTACATATTTAATGTAAAACTGTGGTCGGCCATTGTGGCCCTACCCTACCCCTTGGGTCATGATTTGAACAAATCTGAATCTACACTACCTGAGGATGCTTCCCGATAAGTTTCATCTTTCCTGGCATAGTGGTTCTTGAGAAGAATATTTTTAAAACATACTACCAAATTTTCACTATTTCTGAAGTATCTCCGCTTGAATAAGGGCTTTGCTCTTCATTTGAACAAACTTGAATTCCCTTCACCCAAGGATACTTTGCGCCAAGTTTGGTTGCAATTGGCCCAGTGGTTCTTGAGAAGAAGATGAAACTGTGTAACGTTTACAACGACGACAGACAACGTACAAATTTTGATTAGAAAAGCTCATTTGAGCCTTCGGCTCAGGTAAGCTAAAAAGTGTAAAAAGTCCACGAAAATTGAACTTCCTTTATGATAAGAATAAACATTTTTTTTTTATATTTTCGTTCTCCTCATATATTATCTCGCATTAATCTCTCTGTGTACTTGTAATATCTAACTAACATCTTTATAATCTTGAAAACATAAATCAATGGATCAGTAATAACGACTGGTTTGTTCTTATTAAAAAAAACCCAGTAAACTGTAATAAAAATGGTAAATGAATTCTGCATTACAATTGTCATAAACAATTCAGTCAGAGATAAGACAAATCTTAATGCAGATTCTACTCTAAAAACTTTGCAAAAGCCTCAATCCAGTAGTTGCTATAAAGCCTATCTGTACAATTCATCTATCAGTACAAATTAACTATTATTGACTTAAGTCGTATATAACGTACAAAAGAACATCTTCATGTTCATGTGACAATTTTACTCTATTAGGTACACTGTCTCTTCGCTCAAAAACACAACACCGGTTATAGTTGTAAAACAGTTCATCACCCAGTAAACACTCCTACAACGACTTAAATAATCGTAAACAAAACACGGATCTTCATCCTCTTGTGCCACATACCCCTTAAAACCCATTGTCTCTCTGCTGCTCTTCTCACAAGAGAGCTGCATCCTCCGATGAAGTAGACCACTTAGTGCTGAGACTTCTTTGTCTCGCTAGACTTACTTCGTCCATGTAATGATAGTTTGTACAGCGCTCCAGATCAACCTGAGTGTCCCCTACCATTTTACTATTGCCTTTTATTTCTAATAACTTTTCAATTTCTTCTCGCAGTCGACTAAAGAAAGGTCGTTGCATCGGATTTTCCTGCCAACACATCCTCATTAGCCGATACCTATAATAATGAGTGTAATAAATATATCATAACAGATATGGAATATGTTTATGATAAAGCACTAATTTAGAGAGCAGAAATGACATTTTAAGTTAATAGAAAATAATTTTTTTTAATTGGTTGATTTTTAAGAAAATTAAATTATTTTGTTTCTGTCGAAACTTTTTATAAAGCCTTACAAATGGGGAGGACAATATTCCGGTCGTTGCAGTCGCCTTCCGGTTTTAATGTATGTGCACACATCCCAATTGTCAACTTCCGGGTAGGGGATAGCTCCTCTAGTCATTAACTCCCATAATAACACTCCATAAGACCACTTTATAAATAAATAATACAAGAAGTTTAGAAATATTTCATAACAAAAGTAAAAAAATTATTCAAACCATACACTTTTCATGACTTTATTTCATAAATGAGAAAATCCCTTTAACAATATGATGTGCTTTAATTCTTTTTTCAAGTTAAGGTAAGCCGAATATATTCTTGCTCTTTAAAGATACGATATGCTGATGACCTAGTGACAGTATACAGTTAGAGAAAATTATTCATTGATGGCATTTTGTGACCAAAAGTGAGTTGTAAAATATTTACTTTATAAACAATCACTTGGCAAAACTAAATATTCATGCACAAAATGCTATTTTCATTAAAAGAAACGTACAACATCTGATTTGGCTGAGTACTTTCCTTGTTCCAAACTTTCCGGGGCCATCCATTTGACTGGCAGGCGTTCTTTGTTTTCACTGCTGTAATATTGTTTGGAATAAACATCACGGGTCAGCCCAAAATCTGCCACTTTAACGATGAAGTTGGAGTCCAGCCTAAAGAACATGATAAAGTAGATTTCATCAACAGATAATGAAAAAATCTTTTCGACAACGCTTTTATTCAAGGTTCCAGCATTTTTTGCATGCCTCATAGTAATTGACATGGATTACCTACATATAGTATAACTTTACACATTTTCGATTGAATAAATGAATAAAACTCGAGTGATAAATAAAAAGTCATTAGAAATAGTTTCCAATAAAAAAAATAGTTTAGTCATATTTCATGGTGTCAAGCATTTTTTAACAATTAAAACTTAATTAAAATTACTGTCAATAGATAAAACATGTGAATTAAAAGCATAAAAATACTTTGACATTGAATTAAAAAAAAAGTGTCTCGTACATGCAATTTCTTGCTGCCAAATCTCTGTGGACAAACTTATTTTCAGCCATATACTCCATACCACGGGCTATATGAAGACCATAGGTCACCAGCATTTTTACAGTTGGCATCTAAAAAAAATTTTTTAATTCATTTTGTATATTTGTGGATGATATTTATCAACCTTGCTTTAATTTTAAATACATTTTTGTCTTTCTGTTTGAATGTCTGAGGGAAAAAATACCCAGAGAAAGTATATATACATGGTTAATATTATTTGTTAGCATGCCCAAAAAGAACAGTGTTTGAAGTTGTCATTTTTGAGTTTTTATTTCCTGTAAATAATTACATTCTTTCACTTATCCTTTTCATAGAAAAGAATTTTACGTTTTTCTAAAAATACTAAGAAACAAAGGTTTTTAAGAATTAAAAAAATTATATTTCGTGTAATAGTAACTGATGTTTACACGTTAATGTTAAATTTTATATTGTTAACGATTCCTTGAAGTTTATATGTGGTATATATAGTTTTTTTCGACCCCTTTAGATACATGTATCTTTTACAGGGTGAGATGACATACTTAAATGTTTCAAAACTCTTAGTGATGTAATTAAAATTTGAAGACACTGTTAGAGATACATTAAAATTGAAACTGAACATTGAAAGTTTTTAAAAACGTATATCTGTTTATAATGGTTGAGATGAAAGGTTTTTGACGTACTAGTATTTATTTTTACAATTTTTTAAGCCTTTTAACAGGTCATCAGTTCTGATGGTGTATTGATTTACCAAACTTGATTTATTTATATGGATAACTTACATTATCTTCATTCCTTATGTACGACAATAGTGATCCGTTTTTCATGAATGGTAAAATAACCATTGGAAACTCCCCTTTGTCCAGAGTTATTCCTATTAACGTGAGGACATTAGGATGGTTGAAATCCTTCATGATCAGTGCTTCATTTAAGAAGGCCGTCACATCAGCATCGCTGGATCCTTCCAAAAAACACATGGGCAGAATAACTTTCATAAAAATAATTACTGGCAAAATTATTAAGTCATTTAAATTCTTGTGTCTTTTGTATGTTGTTGAATGCCCCTCTAGAGTTTTTTTTTCACTTATGAATTGTTGTATGCCCCTCCGTGTTAAGTATTCTAAAGGAAATTGAATTGTAATATTTATAGAATGTAATTTTGAAATGAAACATTTTTTCACTAAAACATAAAAAAAAAATTAAAGAAGCCGCGTTATCAAACTAAACTGTGTTAAAAATATTCTAAAGGAAATTAAAACGTAATTCTTAGAGGTTACAATTTTAAAATGAAACATATGGATATAACAAACGGTATTCAAAGTCAAAAATCCATAAAACAATAAAATCGGAGCAGAGCAAACACAGTCCTCCAAAACATCAGAGGTGGGATCAAATGCCTTGGAGGGGTGAGAAATAATGAATAAGAATATTAATAAAATCAAACTAAAAACCAAAAGATCTTTAGAAAAAGAAATTCATTCATGTGAGTATTGGTTTAAATAACACAATTAGAAATCTGAACAATCAAGTAGTTCGTACTTATGATTGTCTTTACAGCGACGGTTAGTTCAATATGTTCGTCTGGTCTTCGTAGAAAAGCTTTATAAACACAACCAAAGTTTCCTACAACATAAATTCAAAGGTATTTAAAATGATATGTCAGAATATGCATTTAAACAAGTACAAGTCAACATGTTTAATTATATCTTAAATTTAATAACGAATTTTCTGACTTTCTAACGAAATATTAAACTGAATCATTGTTATGTTTTGAGAAATGCAGTGTCACTTCTCTGATTCATGGGGTACTTATATGTTAAGTAGATACAACACTTATACAAGTACTGATAAGGGATAAACATAGCAATTGACATTACCTCTCCCCAAGTTACCGCAGTTACGATCAAATCTTAAGTTATCTCCATCTATCAGCAGGTTTTGTTTTTCAAGCACTTGAACTGTGACACTGAAGTCGCTGTCTGTCTCATCAAATGATCGTTTTTCAACTATTCTGCCATCGAGATCTCGGACATAATCTACAAAATTGTCAAATTGCGCTGTAGGAATACGAATGACGAGTTAAAATGTAAACAATAGATCAATATGTGCTTTATGTTGAGATTCTTTCATAAAATATTATTTCCGCAGCATCGAGTCATTAAAGAAGGTACAGCAATTCTTACAATGTGCAAGGCCATAATTACACTGTACTTTCAACAGGTAAGAATGACAGAGGTCGTCTTCAAAGAATTTGATTAACCTTGAAGTTATATCCCATTTTCACATAGATGAATCATTATTATTCTTCTCCAGAAAGTCAATGATTTTTGCAGCTTCATATGCAAACATGTCTAAGTATGACTTACGGAAAAATGTACACCACTGTTTGTTCAGAACATATCTTTCCTTGTTATTCCATATATCCCTTTTCTAAATAAACACATTATTCTACTGTGCAGTTTGATGGAATTTATTACTATAGAATTTTGTGAAAAGTAAATGTATAGGGAACAACTGTCTTCTCGTATGTAATTTTACAGTCGCAAAATAGGTTTTACCAGCAACACAAGGAGAAAAAAGTTATTTCTATTATCTCAGAAGCTACATGAACATGTATTTTGATGTTGTGGGTTTTTTGCGTCTTTCCACAATGACTTCAAAACCAAAACTTTCGAATTCGTATTTGTTAATTAAGCTTGCTTCAACCATCTAGAGCATGCTGCATTAGAATCAATCTTCTTTAACTTTTCTATATACGTACCATTTAGTCTGGCACTCGTGCTACTCTCTGGGTCCGGATCCGGTAGTAGCCTGCGGGACGCAGGAGCAGTGTGATTCTCAGCATGAAAAACCACGGAGGATTCATGATGTAGAACCTTCCGTTTAAATGGTCCTATTCTATTTATTTTCATACAGATAGCACAAATTAGTAGAAGAACAATAAAAAAGCTGATTAAAGAAACGGGGATTATTGTCTTGTTGCCAGCTAGGTGCAGTTTGACTTGGTGCTTTAGAGTCATATCTCCGAGTACAATTTTAAGATTTCCGATTGAAACCTGCCAAAACGAAAAATACACTATTGCACATATTTAGAAAATGTATTTCATGCTGTTATTAATTGTATTATATTCTTATGAGTTTATATGCTACTTTTATGTACATCTGTATAAGTACGTGTATACTTATAATAAAATTATTAATCAGTTTATTAATTTAGCACCAGGAAGAGTTTTATCAGTTACCTCCACTTTGAACATCATATCTCTTTCTAAAATGTCGTATTTTTTAATTGCTGTCGTTAGATCACACGTTAACAAAGAAGACCGAATTTTAATCACTGGACATTTAATTTCGTCTAGGGTAACATCTATATCATCTGGCTGTAAACCATCAAGATATTTTCCCTGAAAGAAGTATTTTTCTAATTTTATATATCATATCAGAAGTATTGTTAACTGGATATATTTTTTTGTGTAGCACTTCACTTCAAAGATCCTTTGCTTAAATATTTAGAAATCCTGTTGAAAATGTGCCGCTCATTTCATGAAAGATTCACATTTTCATGTAGGCTTTACCAAAAATGAAAGGAGAAACTGAGTTTCCTTCATCAAGGATTTATAAATCGGATAAGAAAATATTTGCCTTTTAAGCCATTTTTATCATAATTATAAAAAGAAAGATATAAAGACTTTAAGAACTACAAAGGAAAGGCCAATAGGCTACCTTAAGCTCCAAATGATGGGTATCGTGTAACACTTCTTTAGAGAGAGATGCTTTCAGGGTCTCAAAATGAGGATCTTGGTAAACTTTCAGATGATATGGATTCTGAGGATTCCAATAGAAGTCATCGTCTCCAAAAAGTAAAACAACTTGTACTTGTCTTATTTCGGAAATATTTGATAGGTTTGGCGTTTTACATAATACTTCTGTACCATTATGCTGAGTGCAATTCTGAAAAAAAATTTAGCCCACATAGAAAAACAAGCATTACATATTATTCCTCTAACTCTTAAAAAAAATGATGTCGTAAATTTTTTCATTTCAAATTACTTTTTTTGGCAGTCAATAGCTTATTATTTATCCTTTTTTATGTCAAAGTTGAATCAAGAGAGTTTAATTCAGAATTGTTTTATCCTGCCAAAAACATGAAATATATTAATGACATCATAGTACGTGGAAAATGCATAAAAAATATTTTTACCACAAAGCTTAGCATGCTTACGATATGCATTCGAAGTTTCTAGAATAATTATGAAAAAGTGATAGGTAAGAAGCAATCTTTTATATTACATAATTATACAAGTATTTACACACATCAAATCTGCAGAAGTTTTCCAGTCATTTCTTTTACATGCCATAGACAGATGCACATTATTTTGTCATTTATCATAAGGAAACAATAAAAACAAAAATAAGCTAGAGAAAAAAGATATTTTAAGTTTAATACTCTCAGAAACATTGAAAGGCATAACAAAGATTATATAAAAGTATTTTACATTTTACCGTATTTTTCACGTATGTGGAATTAATTATGGTACGGAACACGATTGTGTTTACAGAATCAAAATGGCGTCCTGATATTTTGAATTTCAACCCACCACTACAAGAAAGAGATGTTAAAATTATTCAAAACGTTTTAAAAGCATTAAACTATTTAAGATTTTACTCTAAAAGAATATTTGATTTACCAAAGTCATTTTGAATTTTATAAATTATTAACCCCTAAAATTTAAATTAAATTAAATTCAAAGGTTAAACTTCGTTTTCTAAACAAAAAATCAAAAACTTTGCTATATAAAACATAAATTAGATTAACTTTCATTGAAGATTTTTCCTTCATTAATTCTGATGAAATAATAATGACATACATGTATTAGCGCTATTCAATAAATATGGATTTATTTGAAAACTGTCTTACCTTTTAATTGTGCTTGTTCTTGAAACGTTTGTTATTTTGGGGTCTGGTTTATAGCAAAATGTTTTATTCCAAAATTTGAAATTGTCAATTTCTATTACGAAGTCATCACAATATGGGCATTGTTTTACAGGTTTAAAGCCTTCGCTGCCAGTTCGAACAACCAGACATTCGTTCATTTTACACAGAATACTTGACGAATTTTTCCTGTAAGAATTTTTATGAGTAAATCATACAATAACCATTTCGAAGACTTGTGAATTAAATGAAACAACTGAATAGATTTAAATCAAACCATAAAAACTACAAGAATTGACACCTTAAAAGTAAGATTTACCTTATCACTTTACACATTGACAAAGACGTCTTTGATCCTATGTCCAGATTTTCACCAGTGATAGTTACAAGAGTATTTCCGTGTCGTGGACCAAATGCTGGGCTCACAGATATTACGTCAGGGACCTAAGTAAAATTCATTATTGTATTATGTAGATTACACATGTTGGTATATTTCTTTTTTTTAATAATGTGGAATACACATGTTGGTATATTTAATTATTGTAAAATGTAGATTACACATAATTGTACGTTTCATTATTGTAAAATGTAGATTACACAAGTTGCTATATGTCATCATTGTATTATGTAGATTACACACGTTGCTGCTGTAAATTGTCTTTTACTTTAAAGTGAAAATTGAAAAAAAGGTTTCTCACAAAAAAAATATTTTCATTGTTTGATGTAAGATCTTTTTTTTTTAATTTTCATTGATGAAATAGTTTGATCACATCAAAGAACAAGTATATATTGGAATGTATTTCTTTACAGAATCTTTAAAGATATGATTTAATACCTTGAATGAGAAATAAAAAATGCCAATTTCCGATTTTCCCCTAATTTTATATCTATGCGTTGAATTCTGAGAAAATGCCTCTACAACAACCATATCAGTGAAGTTTTTTGACATCGGAAGGACACACTGAATACTTAGAAACAAAAAGATAAAATTGTGAGAGCGACCTGTTCACAAGCTCAGACACTAAACTTTATTATGTTTTTTTTTTAATTCATACACCTTAGAGTAGTAACACCATGTAAGGCATATCATATTAAAAATTATCCTTCTAATTCAGAGAGAATTTGTAAAAATTATTATTTTCGAACTACAGATTAATAAATGTACCATTTTAATTTATTTACGAAGTATTATACTTTCTTTGAAAAAAAATCAGGTTGTATAATTTCGATCTTTCCAAAGAAAAAAAAGCTGATTACTTCGTATCATTCCACGTGACATTTTCACATTTTGTTTTCCCAACAGATACGTTCGGAGAATTAAGATTCGGAGATCCAAAATTCTCTCCTTTCAAGGTAAGAATTGTTCCACCTTCTGTTGGTCCACTGGTAGGAAAAACCTAAAAAATTGCAAAACAAGGCACAACCATCGTGTATTTCCTTGCAATGAAAATGGCATTTTAATTTCAAAAATACAGAATGCTAGAGATAGGAGACAAACAATGAATATTTTTTTATTCTGTTTATTTCAAATATGTAAAATTACAAATTTTCGTGGGGTCAAATTTTTATGGTATGAGGGAAAACGCTTGGTTCTTGGAGATTTGATTTCGTAGATGAAAGAGTGTTGAGTAGTTATGTAACATTCACATTTCGTGCTGGGCATGAATTCATGGGTCTTTTCATATACCTCGAAAATATCAAAAATTAAACCCTCAACGAAAATATGTGATTTCACAGTATCACCGAAAAAATGTCTAAAGTTGTTTTGGTCATCCTGTTTTTCTTTCTTGATTTCAAAGACTTCATGAAGATCATTTCTTTACCTTGAGTATAAATGGCGGGCAGCTATCATTATACCACGTGGTGTTGCACTGGTCTTTCTTAAGGCAAACATTTTTACACCAACCACATTCCAAGGGATCGCCACTTAACACACAATCACCACAGTTTGTGTGTATTTGACAGGAATCAAGAGGGAATTTGGAGACCTAAGTCATGAAATAATTGAGGAAATGTTGAAATCTTTCAGAGTTTAATTATGTGTACGAGTTGTTCTGGACATTATATTTCATAAATTATATTTATTGAAATGAAAAACAAAATCATTTTTGCACAATGTATATGGGAATTAATTATGAAATTAACAGTTAAAGATTTGATTTTCATTTAATGTATTTGTAGTCGGTGCCAAGTTTTATTTATAAAAGTTACATATTTAGACACGTTTATTTTCAGATTATACGGAACAGCCGTGTGCCAAATTTAGACAGATGACAATCCTATAGTGATAAAAACTAATGTGTATATTAGGTTTCCATGCATATGTAATGACGATGTTTTGACAAGCATTACTTTTTCTTATTTTGATATAATAACAGCATAAAATGAAGAAAATATGTATCAACTGCAAAAAAACTAAACTCATCCAATTTTAATCAATAGCTATCTTCTTTAAAAAGATAAGACCGCTGTTTTAGCAGGACATAATCATTTTATTCTCCTTAAAAGTGGTTTTATTATTGTCATCTACCTTATTGCCATACAGAATGTAGGCATACTTCCCTCCCTCTACCACCTCTACATCAGATTCAATCTTTATACTTCTATTCTTTGTTACATCAAATGCGGCGACGACCCTGGAGTCAGAAGGTGGAGTATTTGCTACCTTATCAACAAAAAATCATTGTATATATACATATGCCTATGAAACAAAAACAGCTTTTAGAATTTACAAACATAATTCGTTTTAATAGATGCTTAGGATTCGATAAAGTTTTGATATAAAATGTGGTAAATTTCAAACATCTGTGAACTACGGTAAAATACTTAATATACCTAGCCTGTGGTCGGTTTTTTAATGAATTACTTTTACATAAAGAAGAAACCTTTTCCTGTTTTTGTGTTAATTATGTTGTTGTCATTTCTTACACAAAGCATGGGATACTTTATATTATTTGGATAAAGTTTGTTAATAGAAAATATAAAAATGTAATACTTTTATGAGGTACCCGTCGTTAGTTCCAATCCATAATAAAGCTATTTGATATTCTGTTATTTTATTTGAGAAAACACTTGTAAACAGTTTCTTCTTGTGTCTGTAGATCTCGGTTTGGATTCCATGCATGGGTTCTAGACTTTCAATTCCATCTAAAAGGCGTAGTTTACTTGAACAAATACTGCCTGCCGAAATCTAAAATAATAACGTTATAAATTGAAGGAAAACTTATATCTCTAAACCGTTCAGATACCATATACATGTATAAGGATTTTTTAAAAAGAAAATATGAAATGATGAATGTTTTTATCAATTCTCCCCTGGGCCTCTTGTTTAATTTTACATCGCTAATTTATATCAGATTATAACTCACATCCGGGCTCATGTTGCATCTATCATTTCCACAGTTAATCCAGCGGGGAGGTGTATATCCATCCTTTTGAAGATGTGAAAAACAACTCACATAAGTAAATGTGAACATTCTTGAGAGTTCCTGTATGGTAAACTTACACAAAACCGATGAAGGGACGGCCTCTAAAGAATGGATTCCAATTCCAAATGCCACATATACAGACGACTCATTAACCGAATAATATGCAGCAGTAGCAATATTATGCTGATTGCATGACAATATTCTTTCACTAAATG